GTGTAGGTCCTGGAACCATTTTTATTACATTGGAAGCTGAGAGTCTACCTTGACCTCGTTGTGGTGACGGTGACCATTCAATATGACCATCTTTAGACTTCCATGTCTTCTCTTCTCTTGATGATGCTTGTTGCATGCTCTGTCTCTCATCTGATGTAGGGGATGGTACGGCAGACTCCTCCTCTGAATCCTCTTCAATGAAGACAAAATCTGGATCATCAACAGCATTGTCCTCTATCTCTGAAATATCCTCTGTCTCTGAAACCTCTTCTTCTTTTTCACTGTCACAGTCCAGAATTTGTGATAAGACTTCATTGATTGAAAATCTTTTGGAGCTCATTTTTGAGTGTCTGTGTCAGGGACCTGCTGCTCTCACACTGAGGAGAAGCTTGGGAAAGCCCTTTTTAACCCAAACACAATTCTAAAAGTGCAACCAGGACCAGTCAAAACAAAATAAATCAAAGACACTTTTTTGTTTTGCACCTGTGCAAATATATATACACATGAAAGCCTCCGGGTCAAAATGACCCACAACATCAAGTTTGTATACAAAATGTACACAGACATTCCACAACACATCAGTGTGTCCACATTTTGCAGTTAGGTTCATGACCCTAAATGAGGAAAAGTCATGTAATTTCATGGCGAAAAAGAGTGGTTAACTAGTATTTTAGACAACGCAAAAGTGGAAACGGGTCAAATTGACCCACAACATAATAGGAGGGTTAAATGTATATAACCAGGTGTGGCATACATTCCAGAAGTGTCCAAAAGTGTTGAGCAGAAACCAAACCAACAACTTATAATATTAACATTATTTGACTACAGTAGCCTAATAAAGTGGAAATTAAAACAATCAACACCAAGAGTCTGGAAAGAAATCGCATGCCTGGTGTTCCGTTATTTCCAGATGTTGTCATGTGGTCTCTAAAGATTTTTTTGTGTGAAAATGTTCAACGCTAAACCGTACCCCAACCACTCACTCCACTTTTCTTTAGATGCATGCAACATAGTCGCACTGTAATTTTTTCTTCCAGCAACTGTTTTGGTAAAATGTAATTTGATACTCTCTTTGTTTTCACTTTATCGAAACAAGAAATGTAATCGAAGAAAATACGCGTGGCACATAAATTCCTACAATATACAGACGTGGTCGGCCCTCTCCTGTAGAGTAGGAAAAAAAACTTGTTGACTTACATAATGTTTGTTCGGATTTCTCCTCTTCTGGACATCTTGAACTGTTACTTCGTGCACGGTCCGCCTTGCCATGATGTTCTCTTTCAGGGACTCCACTAAAAACTAAAAACAACAGGCCGGTTTTGAAACGATCAGACCCGAATACCAAAGTTTACGTTGCCAACCTTTGTCATTCGTCTGATCCTTGATTGCTGTATGCAACAATTTGAATACTTTTTAGGAGATGGTTCACGTCAGATTTCCTGTCCCACATTCAATCTCTAGTCTTCTTGCCCTGTCCCGCAGTAAGCTATGTCCGACCTTCTCTGAACCAAACTCCCAGCCTATCCCAGCTCACCGACTCTAATTTGACAACGGGAAGGTTTCCACAATTTCACCACAGACAAGGGCTGTATTCATTACGTGCAACGGAAAACGTTTACCGTTTAAGAACCAAACGGAAGCCAATGGGAGGGACCTACTTGACCAATAGAAACTCTCGTTTTCGTTTTGAGTAAACAGGTTCAGTTGCAAAACGTTTTTCAACAGACGAAACGGTCCAGCAGCAGTCAGCAACCAAGAGGAGCTACGGTACAGTACGTCAAAGGTTATCAAGGCTAGAGGCCTAGGCCTACTATAGGCATGTTCAAATCTGATATTGAAGTTTACTGGGAGAATGTCTTTGGGCAACTTTTCTTTTTGATAGACTTCTTTATAAAGTTAATTTGTTCCCAAAGCTGTTGAGAAGGAGACATATTTGAACTTATCAACAGCTTTTACTGTTATAACTATACAGTTAGCAGGCCTGTAATCCATTTAACTGTTAATAACGGATGTATAAGCTATAAACTATTATACATTCTGTTTATTGTGTGATTAGCCTATAGTATATAATGTATTATGTGATATGAATTTATATGGTAAACATTATAATATGCTCCTGTAAGTCGCTCTGGATAAGAGCGTCTGCTAAATTACTAAAATTAAAATGTAAAAAATGTGAAGTCCACTGTAAACCATATCACATTACTGGCATTATAGCAAGGCAAAACTTCAAGAATGCCACACCACACATGCCTGGCAAGTTTCACTCATGCCCACAAGAATTCTGGACAAACAGCAGGGTGTAGAAACCCAATGCTCTTATCTGTCACTCGACATCATTGCCTGGTCTTCTTGTCTCTGTCATCATTAAATATAGGTGACAGGTCATTGGATGAGGATGAACCATCCCTGACGGTTGTGCTGGTGAGCCAAAACAGAGTCACTCTCTCAAGCGTCAACCGAGCTGTGTGTCACCAACAGATGGATTGTGTCTGTACAAATCTCCTTCACTCTGTACATACAATATAACCTCTGAGCCAAGAATACAATGTTTAATGTGTTGACTGTGTCAGAAGGTAATACAATGGATAAGGACAAGAAGTTGATGATGTTGCATCCTCATTGACAGTGATAGCGATTCTGCTTTTGGAACCCTTTCAAAAGTCCCATTTCAGATATCTGCGGTGAGGAGGTTGATCAGGTGATAATGACTTTTGGCACGTTTTCCCCACAACATATAAACACTTAAATAATTAGCCTCGGATCTGAGTGGGACCATGAATAATATGTTCTTAATGTAAAATGCCCCCAAAATCATAATGTTCTCTCTACCATCTGTGTAACATTAAAGTTATTATCTGACTTGCAAAGCAGAGCACATTTCTTTCTGTTTTTAACAGGATTGACAATGAATAGCACCTTTGTTGTTAGCAACACATGGAATATATCCTACTTTTGCTCATCTCAAACAAAAGAAGATCAGTGGATCTCTGTCAAAGAGAGCTGTCTGAGCTGAATGTGAATCAATTTCTATGTTTTGCCAAAAATGTATATGGAAAACACAAATTAATTTAGAAAGACACAAATGTTTCAATTAGCAGAAAAACAAACATTATTAAATGAAGTGTGTTTGACTACTTATTTGTTAATTTACATCCAAGTAGTAGGTCTACACTTAACAGACTTTCACTGGTGTTGACATAGGTGAGCTATTTTTGTGATAATTCAGACTGAAGGTTTGTGTTGAGATGTAGCGTCATCTTGTGGTACGTTATGAATACTGCATCTTGGAACATTTTGCTATATAATGCTCTCTGTTGGTGCAAAGGAGAATTGCAGTTGTACTTGGCCTATTCACTCATGTGGGAGGACCATAGAGAGAAATAGAAGACTAATCCATACAGTGGAGGCTGCTGAGGGCTCATAATAAACGGAGCAAACAGAGCAAATGGAAGGGCATCAAACATCTGGAAACCATGTGTTTGATGTATTTGAGACCATTCCACTTATTCCGCTCCAGTCATTACCACGAGCCCGTCCTCCCCAATTAAGGATGTGGTCAAAGTCACTGGGTGTAGAGTTTTTTTGTTGTTGTCATCACCAATCGGTAATCTGTATTTGGGTTTCCGAAAAAGTGTGTATCTGGTATACAGTGAGGGGAAAAAGTATTTGATCCCCTGCTGATTTTGTACGTTTGCCCACTGACAAAGAAATGATCAGTCTATCATTTTAATGGTAGGTTTATTTGAACAGTGAGAGACAGAATAACAACAAAGAAATCCAGAAAAACGCATGTCAAAAATGTTATAAATTGATTTGCATTTTAATGAGGGAAATAACTATTTGACCCCCTCTCAATCAGAAAGATTTCTGGCTCCCAGGTGTCTTTTATGCAGGTAACGAGCTGAGATTAGGAGCACACTCTTAAAGGAAGTGCTCCTAATCTCAGTTTGTTACCTGTATAAAAGTCACCTGTCCACAGAAGCAATCAATCAATCAGATTCCAAACTCTCCACCATGGCCAAGACTAAAGAGCTCTCCAAGGATGTCAGGCACAAGATTGTAGACCTACACAAGGCTGGAATGGGCTACAAGACCATCGCCAAGCAGCTTGGTGAGAAGGTGACAACAGTTGGTGCGATTATTCGCAAATGGAATCTCCCTCGGCCTGGGGCTCCATGCAAGTTCTCACCTCGTGGAGTTGTAATGATCATGAGAACGGTGAGGAATCAGCCCAGAACTACACGGGAGGATCTTGTCAATAATCTCAAGGCAGCTGGGACCATAGTCACCAAGAAAACAATTGGTAACACACTACGCCGTGAAGGACTGAAATCCTGCAGCGCCCGCAAGGTCCCCCTGCTCAAGAAAGCACATATACAGGGCCGTCTCAAGTTTGCCAATGAACATCTGAATGATTCAGAGGAGAACTGGGTTAAAGTGTTGTGGTCAGATGAGACCAAAATCGAGCTCTTTGGCATCAACTCAACTCGCCGTGTTTGGAGGAGGAGGAATGCTGCCTATGACCCCAAGAACACCTCAAAACCTTAATGACTTGGAGAAGATCTGCAAAGAGGAGTGGAACAGAATCCCTCCTGAGATGTGTGCAAACCTGGTGGCCAACTACAAGAAACGTCTGACCTCTGTGATTGCCAACAAGGGTTTTGCCACCAAGTACTAAGTCATGTTTTGCAGAGGGGTCAAATACTTATTTCCCTCATTAAAATGCAAATCAATTTATAACATTTTTGACATGTGTTTTTCAGGATTTTTTTGTTGTTATTCTGTCTCTCACTGTTCAAATAAACCTACCATTAAAATGATAGACTGATCATGTCTTTGTCAGTGGGCAAACGTACAAAATCAGCAGGGGATCAAATACTTATTTCCCTCACTGTATTTCAGTTTTTTAAAAAGAGCGCTATCTAGGAGTACAAAACATTGGTATCTGTGGCGCTAGCCTCAGCCTATAAAGGCCTGCCACATGTGCCAGGAGTGTATCAGATGTATGGTAACAGGTCGGAGCAGTCACACATATGCAGCTCCATGTGTGAGGTGATGCCAGAGAAGCACTTCTGTAGTGGCAGCTGGTAGCCCAGGGCCTCACCCTGAGAGATGGGCCCCATGTAGCAGTACGGACGAATGTTAAAGATCTTCACAGTACTCTGACATACCCCAAAAAATACGAAAATACTGGTTATGTAAGGCAGGTGGTTCGTTGAACGACGCTGGCATGATGAGTAACCTTGAGTTTGAGTTAATTTAAATTTTTACAGGGGCTGTGCACATTAATCAACGTTTCAGTAAAAGTTCCGGTTTTAGCCAGCCAGCTAATTTTCAACCGGAGTCCCTGGGCGCAGTCCCTGGGCAGGTTATTGCCTGAAGACCTGAAGACATGCGTTAGCTCCTCGCACATCAGACCCTGGTTATGACAAAGCGTAAATGTATAAATGGTTATGACAAAGCTATTTATCAGTCGTATTGCTTGGGGATAGAAGCTGTTCAAGAGCCTGTTGGTGTCAGACTTGATGCACCGGTACCTTTTGCCGTGTGGCAGCAGAGAAAATAGTCTATGGCTTGGGTGGTTGGGGTCTTTGATGATTTTCCCAGCCTTCTTTTCACACCGCCTGATATAGAGGTCCTGGATGGCAGGGAGCTTGGCCCCAGTAATGTACTGGGCTGTCCGCACAATCCTCTGTAGCGCCATGCGATCGAAGGCGGTGCTATTTCCATACCAAGCAGTGATGCAGCCAGTCAATATGCTCATAATGGTACAGCTGTAGAACCTTTTCAGGATTTGAGGGCCCATGGCAAACTCTTTCAACCTCCTGAGGGGGAAGAGACACTGTGGCGCCTTCTTCACGACTGTGCGTGTGTATTTGGACCATTTTAAGTCTTTAGTGATTTGGACACCGAGGAACTTGAAGCTGTCTACCTGCTCTCCCCCCTGTTTCCTGTAGTCCACGGTCAGCTCCTTGGTCTTGCTGATGTTGAGGGAGAGGTTGTTGCTCCGGCACCACACAGCCAGGTCACTGACCTCCTCCCTGTAGGCTGACTCATTGTCGCCAGTGATCAGGCCTACCACCGTCGTGTCGTCAGCAAACTCGATAGTGGTGTTGGAGTCGTGCGTGGCCACACAGTCATGGGTGAACAAGGAGTACAGGAGGGGTCTAAGCACACGTTAAGGCTCAGGTGGAGATGGTGTTGCCTACCCTCACCACCTGGGGTCGGCCCGTCAGAAAGTCCAGGTTCCAGTTGCTGAGGGAGGTGTTCAGACCCAGAGTCCTAAGCTTGGTGACGAACTTGGAGGGGATAATGTTGTTGAACGCTGAGCTGTAGTCAATGAACAGCATTCTCACATAGGTATTCCTCTTATCCAAACTAAAGAGCAGGGCTACCGCACACAGAGCTATCGCAGACAACCCTGATGCTACGGCCGAAGACAGGAACAAGTACAAGAAGTCCCGCTATGACCTCCACAGAGTCATCAAACGAGCAAAAGAGCAATTATGAATAAGATGAAATCATAATACACAGGCTCTGACACCCGCCGCATGTGGCAGGGGCTACAGTCTATTACGGATTACAAAGGAAGACCCAGCCATGATCTGCCCAACGATTCCGCTCTACCAGACAAACTCAATGCATTTTATGCACGCTTTGACAACAACAACATCGAGCCGGGTGTGAGGGCCGTCACTGACCTAGAGGAATGGGCGATCTCGCTCATTGAGGCCAACGTGAGAAGGGTCTTTAATCAGGTCAACACCTGCAAGGCCATGGGCCTGGACGATATTCCAGGGCGCGTTCTCAGAGCATGCGCAGTACAGCTGGCAGGCATATTCACGGTAATAAACAGACTGGCACTCAGGCTAACACACATTAGGAAGCCATGGAATCCACACTGCCTGCAAGTCAGCTTAGAGATAGTTTGTTCCCTGTGATGTGTAACCATGCTAAAGATTGCACAAAGATGAAAGGATCTGACAGAACATGTGTTCCTCCCATACCGCAGTTCAATTAGAGGTAGCGAGGAGCAGAATAATGTTGTTTACCTGTTCCTGCGCTGCTGCTTTTCTGGCCAGGATGCAGACGGCTAATGCAGACGCATGGATGCGGCCATTACTGGAGATCCTTATGTGTTAGCTGTCTTTGATGAGATTTTAAAAACAGCCAGGTCCAAGTGTCAAAGGGGAGTTCAGTGTAATCTCAGCCCTCCTCCAGTAGCTTGGTTAATCCCTCCAAATCACTCATTAGTACTGTTCAAGCTCTCACAGTCATGGTGTAGGAGCATCCTTGAGTTACGAGGCTCTTGTGTGGTTGTCACTGAATGTGAGCTCTACGGCAATTAAGCTACAAGTGTACACCATACAGTATGAAGTTCTCACCAGAGTTAGAGAGTTTAATGCCATCGTACAGGATACCAACCACTGGCCCCCCCAGGGTACCTGAGAAGGGGGCGCTGACAATACCGTAATCATCACACACCACGTCCACTGCCTTGTGGAGGCCATCACCGTCTCTGTGAGAGAAAACATTCAAAATATATTTAGCTTTAAATGCAAATCTTTAGTTGTAGTCTGTAACATCTACATTTTAATGTTATTTAAATGTATGTAAATTGTAAAGTATTTTAGTCTGTACTGTATTTTTCGTTATGTGTTGGACCCCAGTAAGACTAGCTGTCGCCATTGGCGTAGGCTAATGGGGATCCTAATAAAGTCAACAGCAAATAAATATGCAAACATGTCCCCAAAATAGGAAAAATGTCCTCTGCTCTAAGCCTCCACAGCCGAACACGTCACAACCCCTCACTCTGTTGTTGACCGGCACACAGGTCGCTCCAAGCCCCGGTTGGAGAGACAGCAATGACCTAAAGACTGTGTTAATTTACCACTTTATACAAAACAAATATATAGTGTTTTGTGATTTACCAAGCAGAGAGTTATGGAGTAATGTGTCACCTGGCACACAGCACTGTCTTAGGTATGGCACGCTTGTCTTCAGGTACCTCCCCTGGCAGACTTAGGAACTGCGTTAGCAGATGCCACCGATGCTGGTGCAGCCAGTGTCATTCCTTGGCTCCTTGCCACGTCTTGGAATTTCTGTATTTTTGCCTTTGACCTTTTTGTTTCGGGTCAGATCCTTTCCTTTTTACTACTTTTGGGTCCTTTTTGATCTCTACAACATCTCCAACCTTCTTTTCCATTCTTTTAATGTATTTTCCCACCTTCAAACCTTTTATACTTCAATGACATCTTTGACCTTCTTCCTCTTCTCCTTCTCCATCCCTTCATCCCTCCATCCCTCCATCCCTCCATCCCTCCAACCCTCCATCCCTCCATCCCTCCATCCCTCCAACCCTCCATCCCTTCATCCCTCCATCCCTCCAACCCTCCATTCCTCCATCCTTCCATCCCTCCAACCCTCCATCCCTCCATCCCTCCATCCCTCCAACCCTCCATCCCTCCATCCCTCCATCCCTTCTCATTTCACTTTCAAGAGCAAAACCAAAGAGCAGAACTTGGATGTAGAAGAGAGAGAGAGAGAGAGATATCAGGAGTTCTTAATCACACTCAATTAATTAGCTTGTACTGAAACTGCACTGCAAAACAAACCCACTGGGCACACACTGGTTGAAGCAACGTTGTTTCCACGTCATTTCAATGAAATGAGGTGTAACCAACGTGGAATAGACATTTGATTGACGTCTGTGCCCAGTGGGTTAGCAAAGCCATCACAGGTAAAATCATAATGAGGATTATCATAATTATTAGTTAGTTAAAGGTCAGGTTGTGGGGTTGTGGGTATTCTGACCAGCAGGCCTTATCATCAGTGTTTGAACTTCATTAACTCTATTTCCCTCAACACCACAATGAATTTCCAATTGGTCCGCCTGTCACCTGAACATGCAGGCCGGACCTTGTAATTTAAATGAGCTGCTTATCACTAAGGTGTAATCAATTTGGCACACGCGACACCATGGTAACCTCAAGAAAAGGCAAGCGCAGTTGGGTTTGCATTTGTAGATAAATCAATTCCAATGGATTACCCAGGCAAGCCTGACATGAACACACAACACAGACACACCTAACTGCACATGCAGGTCCACATGGACTTGTCGTTAGGTTAGATATCACTCACTGGTAGTTTTCATACAACCAGGAGGAGCCCTGTTTAGGGACACTTAGACAGCACATGTATTTACATGGCAGAGTTACTTATTTTATTCTCTGAAGAGAGAACCATGACAGACAGACAGTTGAAGAATCGTTTCATTGCCCTAATAAGATGGGTGCTGTCTGTGTGTTGCTCAACAGTCCTTCAGAGCCACTCTGCCATCTAGCGCATAGCCCCCTTTTGGCTGTAATTAATCTAATGTTGCATGAAACACTCCATCATGCTGTAAATGCTCATACAGTAATTCCACCAGTAAGCTGCTGCAACCCCAAGGATTCTGTTTACATGAATTTATAGCCACTTAATAAGGCTTCATGCAAAGTTGTTGTGGAAGGGGCTGAGTGGGGTATTTTTTATTTATTTATTGAAATCCACTTTTAAATACAACCCCTCTTCCATGGTGCATGGTGCATGCTCTAACATGCTGTTGAAGTAGCCTGTATTTACTACTGGACAATATACTTACAGCCTGCAACAAGAGATGAAAGAAAGTACTGGACGATATACTTACAGCATGCAACAAGAGATGAAAGAAAGGAGATTCTCAACAGCATTCTGACAGTTTGGACTGGCACTCCAAAACCTGCAAAATTATGACAGAAAGAGAGACCAATTTATTGAATGTTTACTGGTAAAGCTTTACATTTATAAGCTCCTGATGCCTCCTGAGGTCTAAGGCACAGCATCTCAGTGCTAGAGGCACCACTACAGACCCTGGTTTGATTCCAGGCTGTATCACAATCGGCTGTGATTGGGAGTCCCATAGGGCAGTGCACAATTGGCCCAGCGTCGTCCGGGGTAGACCTTCATTGTAAATAAGAATTTGTTCTTGCCTAGTTAAAAAATGTGTAATAACTTTAATAAATAGAAGATGGAATACATTCTCAAATAGATAGATCTCAGATAATAAGTAAAATGCTTTCTTTATAGCCAAAATGTAGAACTAGGTATTGATAGTAAAGTGTATCCAGTGTTTAAGGGTCCTATAAAGGAGTTGTGTGGGTGTAGTGAGGTCAACACAAAGAGCAGACTGTGTGAAACCTGGTCAGCCAAGTCTAGAGTATGCATCCCTCCTGGCCACAGGACATTCCACCACAGTCAATATTGATATTGGCCTTTAAAAAACATATCCCCCGGCCGGTCTCTCTCTCCTGAAGAGACCTCTTCTTCACTGTGTTACAGCTCATAAATCCACTACTCTAACCGGGCTAACCTTACACGATCAAAGCCATTAATACTATGACTTTTAGGAATTGTTATCTTCATCGTTGCCATCCTCATCCTCAGCTTCATCTTCATCTCTCTCTGCATGGCATCAGAAACAAAACTGTACTTTTCTCCTTCAGTACCATACCAAAGTAATCTTATCTCAAAAACACGTTTTATCCTCTATTAATACAGTTTTGCATGTGACTGTGCCGCGTCAGCATTAGTATGGATGGAAGCCTGTGAGTTTTGTGAGTACGTCTCACCGCTGCATGCCCTTGTCAGAGCTTTCACTTAACAAGATAAAAAATGCATTATTCTCAAGCTCATTTGCACCCAGCATCAGCCCAGTATCTATTATAAGATAATTAGGTTTAAGCAGGCACACAATGCAACTACAGTCAATCAATACAATGAATTCACCCTCCTCTAATTTGGCCATTCAGATGCTGGCACGTGGACATACTACGTGATGGGTTCTGTACAGAACCTCTTTGATGACCAGTGTGTCCAACAGCACAGCACCGGTCAGGCTGTTAGGCCTGTTAAAGCTTGGGTTATAGAGTCGTCTTCTCTCGCTCTGGCTGCCCTGGGGGAATTATAGGACTGGACCAGGCCACTGGTGGTGTGGCGACACGCTCTGAATCTTAATGTACTGTAGTGGGAGGAGAGATGGCAGAGAGAGTGTAGCCTTTTCTGCCGGGCGGCTTTGATAATCAAATATCTGCACGGGGGATTATGCTGATAGACCATATGGCAAGGAATTAGACAGAGAGATGGAAAAAAGAGAGGAGGGGAAGGACTATAGCTGTAGCTACAGATGTAGGATCTTAATTTGATCAGTCTTTTGTTGCTGAGAATTTTCCTACATGGCAGGAAATGCAAACATGTAGTGTATCTGAGTTTTAAAAGGCATCTAAAATGTGTCATTTCCACTTTGAAATTTCAGACTTGATTTGCACTAACGAAAAATGTATCAACTTCTTCAAAAATGTCCATTAATTATAATCCACACAATAATTCACATTTCCTGTTGCTGGAGGATTATTTTCCTGCTGTAGCAAACTTGCTCAAATTAAGATCCTACATCTGTAGCTCTCAGCCAGTGCCTTAAACAAACACTTTCCCCTGGGCAGAGACGGGGGTACGTTGGCTCACAGAGCGCATTTTGATAAACGTTTGTATTTAAATGGATACATGCACCACATTCCCCAAACTCCTTGGAATGATTCGAGTGACATTTCACTCTGGCTGTTTCTTTCAGTCAGTTTGTTCTTCAAGGAGGCAGGGAGAGAAGAGGAGAAGCCACAAGTGTTTCCTAGCAACAGTGTGTCCGCAGCAACCCCCCTTCTCTCTACCCCACACTCCCTCCCTCCCTCCTTCCCCGAGTTGTAGCAATGCACCACTTGTTCCAGAACCTGGAATACATTCTAATTCTCTTGACCCTGCTCCCTTTCACAAACTGTGAAACATCAAATGACATTCAAGCCTCACAATCTTTAAGCAAAAGGCACACAGAGGGACAATTCCCTTTGAAGGTTTAAGCGAAGCAATTTTGCGGGAGCCGCAAACTGCTGGCAGAAAAAAGGAAGAAGGACCACTGTGATATTTCAATGCTTTTCAAGCTATGCAGCTTCTTGGCAAACCCTAACTTCTCTCAGAGCTGGGGAACAGAGCTGTCTCGCAAACCTGGCCATGTGAAAACACTGAAGCACATGATGGATTGGAGCTGTGCTTTGTGTAAATGAACTATCTCAAAAAGTCATGCCCACTTGGCCGAGTCGATCTGTAACCATATCTGAGGGACTTGGGAGGGGGCTCAGGCAGACTGCTCAGGGCAGAGAGGATGTCGAACTAGAGGAGTGTTATTCCCAGACGTGTCCGAACAAGGGGTGCCGTAGCACGGCTAATGTGTTCCACTAAGAGGGTTTCCGTGTACACCTCAGGGAGCTCTCAGAGGAAGGGAATGTAGCGTACTGCAGTCCAGTCACATGGCTAGCTCTCACCACCTGCAGAAATGTTTTGTATTGATCGTCTCTCAAAACACGCACAGCAATCTGGGAAATGCCCTTCAGAATTCCTGAACTCCCGTGGACAGTGTTAAAAGCCTGTCTGCACCCATCAGCCATCAGCCATCACACATCACCCATCGTGTCAGATCACAACGAAATAGAGTGGATACAAGGCCTCTCACACTTCATCTCTATTTATACCATGCTATTGTTGAATACTCGTTTCTGATTGTCTTGAAGGGCATTCTAGAGCATGCATTATTTCCCTATAACGCACGGTATGTTTGCACGGTAGAATTCAATGGCTATATTTAATTCTTACGTGTTCTATGTTTGAGCTGCTTTTGAAAGCAAAAGTCGAATTGAAAACATGATTGGCATTGTTGAATTCGATTTTCATAATAGCAAGCTAGGACTGATGGTTTGGTTAGCTAAACTAGCAAGTCTGTTTGTTTGGTTACCAAGGCAACTACTGTTGCTATCTAGTAAACTTGCTAGCTACTTCAGTGGATGCTGTACACATTTCTAGCAGCAAATGAACACATTTCTAGCGGCAATGAGTTAAATTATAGCCATGGTATGAAGGGATAATGAACTCGGGACTCTATGCGTTCTCTGGAAAATAATGCCTCTCCTTGGAAGGTTAGTTCCACTCAGCTAGCGCATCGTGGAACACACCTTCCACGTTGTTCATTATTTTCCATAGAACGCATAGCCTCTGTTGATTATCCCTTACATGCAGTGCATTCGGAAACTATTCAGACCCCTTGACTTTTTCTACATTTTGTTACATCACAGCCTTATTCTAAAATTGATTAAATAGTATTTTTCCTCATCAATCTACACACAATATGGAAAAAACCAGAAATATCACATTTACATAAGTATTCAGACCCTTTACTCAGTACTTTGTTGAAGCACCTTTGGCAGCAATTACAGCCTCGAGTCTTCTTGGGTATAACGCTACAAGCTTGGCACACCTGGATTTGGGGAGTTTCTCCCATTCTCTACAGATCCTCTCAAGCTCTGTCAGGTTGGATGGGGAGCGTCACTGCACAGCGATTTTCAGGTCTCTCCAGAGAGATGTTAGATCGGGTTCAAGTCCAGGCTCTGGCTGGGCCACTCAAGGACATTCAGAGACTTGTCCCGAAGCCACTCCTGCGTTGTCTTGGCTGTGTGCTTAGGGTCGTTGTCCTGTTGGAAGGTGAACCTTCGTCCCAGCCTGAGGTCCTGAGCACAATGGAGCAGGCTTTCATCAAGGATCTCTCTGTACTTTGCTCTATTCATCTTTCCCTCGATCCTGACTAGTCTCCCAGTCCCTGGCACTGAAAGACATCCCCACAGCATGATGCTGCCACCACCATGCTTCACCATAGGGATCGTGCCAGGTTTCCTCCAGACGTGAGGCTTGGCATTCAGGCCAAAGAGTTCAATCTTGGTTTCATCAGACCAGAGCATCTTGTTTTTCATGGTCTGAGAGTCCTTAGGTGCCTTTTGGCAATCTCCAGGCGGGCTGTCATGTGCCTTTTACTGAGGACCATAAAGGTCTGATTGGTGGTGCTGCAGAGATGGTTGTCCATCTGGAAGGTTCTCCAATCTCCATAGAGGAACTCTGGAGCTCTGTCAGAGTGATCATCGGGTTCTTGGTCACCTCCCTGACCAAGGCCCTTCTCCCCCGATTGCTCAGTTTGGCCGGGCGGCCAGCTCTAGAAAGAGTCTTGGTGGTTCTAAAAGTCTTCCATTTAAGAAGGATGGAGGCCACTGTGTTCTTGCGGACCTTCAATGCTGCAGAAATGTTTCGGTACCCTTTCCCAGGTCTGTGCCTCGACACAATCCTGTCTCGGAGCTCTACGGACAATTCCTTCAACCTCATGGCTTGGTTTTTGCTCTGACTTGCACTGTGAACTGTGGGACCTTATATAGACAAGTGTGTGCCTTTCCAAATCATGTCCAATCAATTGAATTTACCACAGGTGGACTCCAATCAAGTTGTAGAAACATCTCAAGGATAATCAATGGAAACAGGATGCACCTGAGCTCAATTTCGAGTCTCATAGCAAAGGGTCTGAATAGTTATGTAAATGAGGTATTGCTACATTTTCTAAAAACCTGTTTTCACTTAGTCATTATGGGGTATTGTGTGTAGATTGATGAGGGTAAAAATGTATTTAATCAATTTTAGAATAAGGCTGTAACGTAACAAAATGTGGAAAAAGTCAAGGGGTCTGAATACTTTACGAATGCACTGTATGAATGGATTTAAACCCATCTAATCAAGAAAATGTAGACTTCAGCAATGTTGTTCACATCAGTAAATGAACTTGCCTGGGTTGATTGATTGATTCCTAGTCATGGTGAAATTAATGATTAAATAATATACACTGCTCAAAAAAATAAAGGGAACACTTAAACAACACACTGTAACTCCAAGTCAATCACACTTCTGTGAAATCAAACTGTCCACTTAGGAAGCAACACTGATTGACAATAAAATGCACATGCTGTTGTGCAAATTGAATAGACAACAGGTGGAAATTATAGGCAATTAGCAAGACACCCCCAATAAAGGACTGGTTTTGCATGTGGTGACCACAGACCACTTCTCAGTTCCTATGCTTCCTGGCTGATGTTTTGGTCACTTTTGAATGCTGGCGGTGCTTTCACTCTAGTGGTAGCATGAGACGGAGTCTACAACCCACACAAGTGGCTCAGGTAGTGCAGCTCACCCAGGATGGCACATCAATGCGAGCTGTGGCAAGAAGGTTTGCTGTGTCTGTCAGCGTAGTGTCCAGAGCATGGAGGTGCTACCAGGAGACAGGTCAGTACATCAGGAGACGTGGAGGAGGCCGTAGGAGGGCAACAACCCAGCAGCAGGACTGCTACCTCCGCCTTTGTGCAAGGAGGAGCAGGAGGAGCACTGCCAGAGCCCTGCAAAATGACCTCCAGCAGGCCACAAATGTGCATGTGTCTGCTCAAACGGTCAGAAACAGACTCCATGAGGGTGGTATGAGGGCCCAACGTCCACAGGTGGGGGTTGTGCTTACAGCCCAACACCGTGTAGGACGTTTGGCATTTGCCAGA